CCCGCCCCGCACCGGTCTCCCTTTCGCTTTGCCTCGTCCCCGCCCCGCCCTTACAACCGTCCTGGACTTCCGTAAGATAGCGTTCTCTTGTTGCTTCCTGCACGCGCCCCGCGCCCCACCCAGCTGCAACTCCTCTACTCGCAGCAGCGTGCGTGCGGCCTGCAGGGATAGAAGGCCACCGTTTCCCTGATATGCACCGCAAGACCACCACGAGCTCAGCACCCGATTGTGAAATAAAGGTGCGCTGCCCTGCGAAAGAAACTAACCGTGTCATGGAAATCAGGACTTCGTTTTTACCGTGCGGCAGCCCATTCTTGCTCGTCAATGAATTCTAAGTTGATATTGTAATTGCACAATTTTAAACTGTAATTTTACAACCTAGTACATGAAAAACTTCCCTGTAAATCTTACAGGAATATCGCACAGTGTGGTTTCCTTCTTTTACTGTCGCTGCTCACCTGCTGATGCCGTACGTGCTCCACGATGAAGCGCTGGTCCACGGTGTACGTGGTGAGCCCCACGGTCAGCAGGTGGTAGTCAGTCTTGCGGGTCCAGGTGATCTGTAGGAACAACAGAAAAAAAATCACGTTGTGAAATTTCTACGTTTTACATTTTCATACTTTTGATTTGTATGTTGAACTATACATTTCCGAAAGCGGTTTAAATCTACAATCTGCATTTTTTGCAACTACAAAAGGTTTATCTTTCAATCACTTCCAACAAAAATTCTCCGCCCCGCAAAACTGTTGTTAGAGTAAGTGGCACAACATGTCAATGAGATAATTATCCATTTGCGCCATTGGCAGCGTTCAATCGCTTTTTGTAAAGCGACGTGCCAGTGTTGAGTTTCTCTGCGTGACGCGCTCGCCATAAGGGCTCTTCTCTGCCATTTTTTGTTTGGTTTTGCTTTAATACTCGACGCATATGGAACAGTGAGCCTCTCTCGTATTTTACTCCTCCTTTTTTTTCCATTTCATGTTTTTCAACATACGCTCCGCGTACTCCCCTGCCATCCCTCTATCCTCCGCCTTTTCACCGGGAAGCTTGATGGTTTCCCAATACCAGCTTCATTTTCCAGGCATTTCATGCATTCTCTCTCTCTCTCTCTCTCTCTCTCTCTCTCTCTCTCTCTCTCTCTCTCTCTCCCCCCCTCTCTCGCTCCCTCCCCTCCCCCTCACTCTAACTCGCAATTATTTGCAGATCCGGCTGGCTCTACGCGCCACCTGCCACATGGATATCTCGCTGATCCCGCTGATTATCTGCACACGAGTCGTCGTCGTCCTTCTCCCCAGCCAAACGAGGCTGCGGGTGGAGAGGACGGGGACACTTACCGAGACAGACGGACGGAATAAGAGAAAACGAGGGAGAGAGTTTAGTTTGGGCACCCACGGGCCAAGCTGACGCCCGTTGGTTAGGCAAACGTTTGCGTTATCATGCATCTAGAATGCTCGGGTTGTCTACCCTCAGGGGGAGAGGGGGGGGGGCGTCGTCCAGCTCGGTGACAGAGGCGGATAGACGGACGGACGGAAGGGCGGACTGAGCAGTGAAAAAAACAAAATGACCCTTAAACGCTGGCGCGCACGCGGGTGCACTGCCCGCGACACCGACCCCCCCCCCCCCCCCACTGCTCGCCCCTTCCGGCAAGCCGAAACTCGGCGCATCGTATCACACCCTCTCTCGGTCCGTTCGCCTGCCGCACCCCGCTCAGGGCCCCTCTCTCGGCCGCCGCCGTAGCTATCCTTTACTAATTATCGCGAATGGCCCATTCTACCCACACATAGTGATGGGGAGGGGGGAGGTCGTCCGGAGCCCGCGCTTTCGCCTTCCCCGTCGCTCCGCGCTGCCACGCCCCCGGCCGCCCCCGGCCGCCCCCGGCCGCCCCCGGCCG